TGTGTGTGTGTGTGTGTGTGTGTGTGTGTGTGTGTGTGTGTGTGTGTGTGTGTTGCATGCTTTCCTTGGTTTTTATGGTGTTTGAAAGTACTTCGAACTATTTTATAGGAGGAGTAAATGGGAGACTCGTTAGTCACGTTGAAATTAGTCACGTTGAAATGGATGCTGTACTGTAGTCATAGTTTCTGATATAAATGTTTATAATGAGGTTTCAATCTAAGTTACATTGACTGATTACTTAAAGAGATTCTGCTACTTTGATTTTAATCTGTGTTGCTCCTATTTGGGAGTAGTATAAAATGAGTTGTTAACACATCCTGTAAGGTTTGCAAGGAAAAGGAAGAGGAAGAGGGATAAAAGAAAGTGAATTAGTACAATTATTAATATAGCAAGCGTATTTTGAAAGTCTACTTTATGCCATGGGCCACATTGGAATCTGGGGATACAGAGATGAATAAGATAAAGTCTCTGTCCTCAAGAAGCTCCCAGATTACATGGGGCAGCCAAACATTTAAACAATTAGGTGTACTGTAGTGCATTTTTTTACAGTTCCCAATTTAGTTAATAGTTTTATTTACATTATTTATCTAATCTTCCACTTCTCCTCCCAACTATTACACTCTAAGATAGTGTACACATTGGTACTTTTGTAAACAAGTGTTCCAGTTTCCCAGATTGTTGAGATTTTTTTTATTAGCAAAGTAGTCAAACTTTTAGGGGAAAACATACATTTACAACTGCTCTTCTTTATGAGTCTCGCGTTCAGTTCTTTAATAATGATGATCTATGAAGAAAACACATAGTCCTTTATCTTCTCTCTTTCAATCTGAGTTTCAAGGAGGTTTTGCCACATATACTTAGTGTTAAGAGTTCTCAATAGCTTTTTGTTTTTTGGTTTTTTTGAGTTGGAGTCTAAGCCATGATGTTCTTACTTGCTAGTTAACAAGCTATGTACTTCTGTTTGGTTTGATCTAAGTATGCAGTTAATTTCTTAAAAACAAAAATGTATGTCTGAGATAGTCGCTGAACTCGCTAAAAACATGTAGTCCTTATTGTCCCCATAGATTATTTTCATACTGTGTATGAAAGTTTCTTACATTGGGCCTGGCATACTCAAAATTTTAGTGGAGTATTAATTAGCACATAACTGTACAAAGCAGCCATTTAACCCTTGATCCTATTGGCCCTCCCTGCTTTTTGGCTTTATCTGAATATTGACCTTCCTTAAGATGCCCTTGAACAACTTAGATTCTTCTTACCCAGATGTTAATCTTACTATCATTTTCTCTCCTGTGTTTACAAAGACTATACTGGATTCCTTTCTTATTTTAAACACCACTTGTCTTCCTTGAAGAACATATTTACTCATTTTGTATATACTACTTTAGTCTTCAGATACTGAACATTGCTTAATGGGTTTCCATATCACGTTCCATTTTTCTTTTTCCTATTCACCTTTAAAATAATTTTTTAAAATAAAATTTCAAAACCAGATGGGACTTTAGAGACCATGTAGATAAACCTTGTTTTTATAGATTAGGAAATTGTGACAAATGAACAGGTTAAATAACTTGCTCAAAGTTATAAATGTTACCTGGCAGCATACAATGACCCATTCACTGTATGGAAGAAGAGTAGCTTTTTTAAAACTCCTACTATGTGCAAAGCATTATGCTTTTTAACATGCTGTTTCTGTACTTTAAATTGTAATATGTAATCTTTTTGTACTTTGAATGTATATTAATAGGATATTTCTTTAATAGCTTACATATCAGTTTTTCATGCTAGACTGTTAAACATCTCAAAAACAGAGATTATGTATTATTTACCTAAATGTTTACAATACCTAGGACAGTGCTAGACTTGGAATGAGTGATAGTGACAAATGTTTAAGCTTTAAAGGTGTATTTACTCCATATCCCAGGCATGACAAACTATGACTTTTACAGTGGTAAATATGTTATTACTATCTGGATTAATGTACCATTGTACAATTGACCAAATTTATCTTTAGTATCTTTCTAGGAGTCCATCTATACTTACACCTTTTTGCCCCAACTTATAGGTTCTTTCTTGCTTTTGCCCTGGATAGCTGTCACTATCATTTCCAGTGTCTGCTCTCAAATGCCTTTGACAAAATCAGGGTATAAACTGTTATACACTCACTTGGCTCCTTTTGCTCTTAGAGCTACTTAATTATTTTTACTACATCAAAAATATAAGAAAATAATTGAATGTACTTTGTTGCTCTAAAAATAAAGACTGGTATTTTGTAGGTAACATTTTCCCTGAAAACATTAATAAATGTCTCATAAATAAGCTGATTACACTGAAACAACCTACCATAAAGTTTATGACATGCAAATTTCTCTTTTTCTACTCACAGAAAGCAAATATTTGAATATAGAACCTTGGTTATGACTTCCAGTTCAGAAACATGATACAAAGCTTTTTTTTTCAGACAAGTCCCCTGAGAAAGATGCTATTTTGATAATTATTCATTAATTTGATGAAAATTATTCATTAATTTGATGAAAATTATGATGAAACCCAAATCACTTATGTTTGTCAGTACTTTAGCCGAAATGTCTTGAGCATAGGTCAGTAACCTAGTTGTGTTTATAGGATTGGGTTTAAACCAACATTTTTTTGAATTAGTGAGTTGTTTCCTCATCATTAAAATTCCTTCCTATTCATTGTAACCCATAGTTTGGCAAGAAACAATTAGGTTTGGGGAGGTCAGATAATGGTGTACAATATTTCACTGTTGTCACCTCCTCATACCTCATTTGGCACTTGGTAATCTTTCTATTGCTAGCATCAGATTGAGTGCCTAGCAAATCAGGAGTCTTTTCCAAAAGTTAACATTGCTTGCTGGAGTACTTAAGTTGAAGCCACCCAAGACTAATTCATTCATATATCTTAGCATCCTGTTCATTTACTTGCAGTTGTTGATTGAATCTTTATAAATGTGATTACAAACAGCAGCCCATAGTAAGATGTTTTTCTATGTATGGTGATAAATTAATAGATACTATTATGAAGGATGAGTGTCCTGAAATTAAAATATTTGCAATCAAATGGAAAAGCAAGGATAGTTTTGCATCTAAAAAAATTGGTGAGCATGTTATCCTTATCATACATATGTGTCCCATGGGATTTTTTTTATTCCCATGTGGTCTTTTTTACCTTAAGGATGATAGCAATTAAAAACAAAACAATGTAATAACAAATAATTATTTATTTAGCAAAACTTGTAGTTAGTTGAAAGCAACAGCTGTTGTGCTTAACTTTTGTATTATACATACACACACACACACACACACACACACACACACACACACACACACGTATATTTTACATGACCCACAACTTTATTTTGAAATTGTTGCTGTATGGAATTTTGAAGTATAGAGATTAGGGTTGGAAGGAATGGGAGAGTGAGCATCAAAAGGAAGTCTTGGACAAGTAATAAATATCATTATAGAAATTGTAAGGCATATGGCTTCCTCTGATGTCTTTATTCCTCTCCTCACCTTCAAATATAATTACTTCTTTCTCTGTGTTCCCACAGCATTTTATAAGTCTACTAGTAAAGTGCTTAACTTGTATGACAATGAGTTGTATGTGTTCCTTTTCTTATGAGGTCCTCCTTAACCTGTGAATAGATTCTGTGTAACTCATCCGTACATTCCCAGTATAGTTATTGGCACATAGTAGATCATCAGTAAAGTTTATAGAAGAAGTGGAAGTAATACTTTTACTATACTTTAGCTTTAAAAAATTCCCATAATTCTACATAGTCCTCTGAAATAATGAGCATTATATATGTTATGTGTAATTGATCAAATGGAACTCAGTTTGTTTGAGGTTGGTAGACATGCCTATTTCAGTAATTAAATAGAATTGTAAAGAATAATGTTTCTTGAGTCTTTGTTCCTTTCCTTTGTATGCATACATTGTCTTATTTCTTTTGTGATGTATATAAATTTATGTGTTAATTTTCTTTTTCTATTTTGGTGTTCACTTCTACTTTCAGTCATTGAACATACTTTCCATTTTGTCTTTTTTTTTTTTTTTTAATAATTTCTTCTTTGTCTTATTTATGTTATACGGAATTGACAGCGTATTGTCAGGGCAGAAATAGTGAAATACCCGGAAGAAGATAATCAACATACCAGCTCTGCTCAGAGTAGAATCTGTTCAGTACAGTAGTGCAGGTATTAATGGATAAATTACTACAATTTGGGGAGGAGGGAGGGGAGAGGTAATGAATGGTATCTTGTTTTTTATTCCTTATGAATAGAGAAGTTCAGATGATTATTATACATTATTGGAAATGAACATTGCATAAGTCCTGCTTTAGAACTGAAAAATTGATTCTTTGCCAGGAGACTTACAAATTAAACAAGAAATTGGGAACAAATTAAAATAACATTGCAGTTGCTTTTAAACATATTTGTCTTTATGGTTGTGTTTATTACATGTGCAGTGAAGTGGAGAATTGAGGTAGTTATTTCATTTCATTCCTTACCATTTTTCCTGAAATAGCCTGGTAATTGAAAGAGTATTTTTAAAATTTGCCTTGAATTGCCCTTCTTTGTCTGCTTGTGTGTGCAGACTTAGTAAAAGAGATGAAAACAGTAAAGGATTTGTTTTAATTTAAATTGTTGCTTGGAGATGAATATTAGGACTTATTGCTAAAGTCATCATTTCAGATATTCCTTGAAGTATGTGCTAGAAGGAAAGGGGGAAGAATTTAAAGCATAGTTTGGTTTAAATTATTTTAAAAACATGAATATGGGATAATTTTTTAAATTTCTCATATTTTGTTGAATTGTAATTCATAACCCAATAGTGAACTATTTGGAAGTAAGTGAGGGATTCGAGATACTTTAAAAATGGGAAAACTTTAAAAATGGGTGCTTAAATTATTTCTGCTTCATATGTGAGTCCTCTTAACATTTATACTTCTTGCTAACTCACAGACTGCTGTAAACATTCTAAGAAAAAGTTATGGCTAAATGTAATGGCTTATAGAAATATTAATACATAATGACATTTTTGAATTGATGAGGTTTTGTCTTTGAACTAAAATATGTGTGAATAATTAATTTTAATTCCTTTGCTTTAAATTATAACCAGGATTTAATTTTTTATATTGATTTGTCAATTTTTTTGAGACTTGTGTGATAACTTCAAGTTAATGTCACAAAGCCGGGAAAGATTCATAAAACCGGGGAAGACTCAATAACTGAGTTTGCCATTGCCTCTTAAAAAAATTTACTTTCCATTTGTTTGTTCCGGTTGGTGCTTTTAATATCAACTCCTGCTTCATTTATGATGTCTATTAACAGGAGTTCACAGAGTTCAGAAAATAAAAATATACTTTAAGGAGTTTTTTCTAAATGTTCTGATGTCCTGATAATAACTCTGTTTTCTTTTATAACAGAGAGTGGTGAAGGCAGATATTGTAAACTACAACCAGGAGCCTTTGTCAAGAACTGTTAACCCTCCTAGAAGCTCTATGTGTGTAGTTCAGTGAGTGCATTTTTCCTTTGTGTTGATAGTTCTGGCTGCCCTTCACCTCTGGGTGGGCCTGAGGACTTCTAGGAGCTTGTTTTATCCGTGGCCATCTCTGTAGTCCAGTTAACACTTTCCTTCCAACTGACTTCATCGTTAAGTTTGCTTCACAGCCTCAGGCAGCTTCTTGGGTTAGAAAGAATTCAACTGCGGGACCACACACTTTGAATTCAAAATGGAAATCCTATTCTCTGGAATTAGATTGCTTCACTGAAAAAGAATGATATGTTTCTCTGTATATCCTTGCTTCTTTTTTTCCCAATATAAATTTTTCAACCAAACATGAGAACTATCCAAGTCCTTATCATCAGCCAAGATTTTGCCATTGCACAGTTTTATTTTCTTATCTGAACTCATACATGTCGCAGTATACTTCAGAGTGCAAACTTTAAGCAAGTAATATATTTTACCTACAGATACTTAAGAAGGCATTCTTTTGCTGTCAAAAGTGAAAACATATAAAGCTGTATCTAACTGAAAGTGCTTGAAATAAGGCTGTAATAGAAATATTTTTTCATTTTTTAAAAAGAGGTTTAAATTGTTTATTTTGTAGTTTGTAACTCACAAAATAGTATTTGATATTGTATTTTTATTACTGTATCATGGCCATTATGTATTGTGTAATACTCAGGTTGGATGGCTTTCTGATTTTTGGTAAACGTTCAGCCGATGCTCCAGGTGGAGGAGTGTCTCCTACAAACAGTGTAAGAATCCTCCCAGGATGATGTATGACATTCTGTTGGATCAGTGTGGATCGGAGTGTACCTGATGTTCAGATGTTTCCTCTAACAAATAAATTTATTTATAAACTACTTTTCTTGGGAATTTTCTTTCAACTGTCTTTCTCTTAGTTACAAAAAAAAGTTTTTGGATATAAACTTGGTGATCCTGTGAAGTTTAATGTACTTGGAGTTGTTTGGTTACTTTTGGGGACCAATTAAAACCCAGACTCCACAGCCTAGCGTTTCAGGGACTGCATGTCAGCTGCATTCTGCCTTTCCACCTTTTCTCGCGCCGCTCCACTGTGCAGTCCTTTCCTCGGTGTGAAAGGAGTTACGGAGTCATTCCCGATTGCTGTGTGATGCTCTACTTTCCTGTCTTTGCTTCACAAGTCCCTCTGCTGGGAATTCTTACTCCACTCCAAGTGTCTACTTCCTGCCTGCTAGCCTTTAGGCACAGTTGTGTGTGTGTGTGTGTTACTTTGCACTAAGGCACAGTGCCGGACATGATGGGTGCTCTGAATTTGCTACATCAGATCATGAATGAACGCCACTTAGTCCTCCACGTCTGTATCTCTCAGAAAGCCAGTACCCCTTTCCCACCTTGAATCACAACTATCTGTGTCCCTGTCTCTTATTGTTTAAAAGCAGTGAGTTCATCGAGGGACATCTCTGCATCTCTTTTCTCTCTTACCTCTCAGAATGCCTAGCAGGGTGCCTTCCTCACATGAGGTTTGCCACAAGTCTGTGTAGAAATTTTGTACACCTAATTTTAGAGCTGTAAGGGATTTTGGAAAATTTATTTCATATCCTTGTGTGCTAAGAAAACTGAAGTGTTGAGAAAAAAGGTAATTTGCCAGAGGTCATGAATCACAGAGTTAGACCTGACAGATGCTCTGTTTCTAGGCCAAGAAATTTTAAAAATTAAAAAAAAATTAAGAAAATATTTAAAAAATCATGACTGTATTCAGGCATTAAGGCAATAGGTCCAGCCTCTTTCTCCTTTGATTTTTATATTTTTTTATATTGTAACAACGTAGCAGCCTTGTAAGCCCTTCAGGCAATAAACCCTTCAAGCTAGTTCAGTTTACCCTTCTTTCCACCCTCTTCCTAATATGCATAGGCCAGTTGACTAAAACTTTAGGAGAATTAAAGTTGAATACATGAAATCTCCGCCCCCAAGGACTCTACAGTCTAATGGGAGAGATGTTTGTTGTTGCTGCTGCCCATTTAAAAGCTGTGATTGATGAAAGCCTACTATTAAACACACTTGTCCAAGGTTTTACATTCAGTAAGAGGTGAGGCCATGCTCTTTTTGGTCATTTCATATTATTTTTACATGTATGTTAAAACTTAAGGATTTTCAAAAGTTGTTCCCCCTCCCATACAGTTGTGTTGCTATAAGGTATGACTTAACATATACATATGATTGTACAAGCTGAGTGCTGCAGGCATCAGAGGAGACAGAGATAAATGGCAAAAGGTCTATGAGACTGAATTGATTTGGTTGTGTGTGTATAAACTTAGAGCCCTGAATGGAACTGAGCAAGGGGCAGGGAAAAGAAAGACCTTTGTAGACTTGTTCTGGCCTGGAGATTTCTAAGCACTTGTCACTGGTGTGATCACATCAGTCTATGAGAGGAGAGCTATTGTCCTCTTTCATAGGGGAAACTGAAACTGAGAGTAAGTGATTATACAAAGCCCCTCCTTAAGTAAGTGGTAGAACCAGGAGCCACACAAAATGTTTCTGAGATAGAATGGACTAGGCCAGTACTGGTTTTAGGCTGATTTTCATTTGTGGAGATTAGACAAGTGATGTTCTTCCTGGGAGTTGAACAGGTCTAAGTTTAAGTTGTTCTTGAGAAGTGGTGACTGACCTCTCCTGGTCCATCCACCCACACACACCAGCTGGTGGTGGTAAGTTTGCCCTCTGATCACAGAGGTGAAGACAGAAATTACCCCTGCCATCTCCTCTGCCTGCCTTTGGTCTCACTGGTTTTGTCTCTCCCAGCTAAGCAGGACCAGTCATTGAGAGCCTTTTGGCTCAAGGAAAGCAGGCACAATAAACAAGCAATACAGCATATGACCAAAGCATATCACTGAATTCCATATTACAGTTTTCCCCATACCTTGGGTTTTATTTTTGAAACAAAAACGTAGGATTCATGCTTATTTTACTTTGACTGTTACCTCTCCTGTACAGTTTTTAATTTAAAAAATTACAAGTCTTTCCATCTAGTTTTAGGCACTTTGTCTCCTGAAGACACATGCTATAAAGTTTCAAACACATTGTGGTCACTTCTGATGCTTATTGAGCTTTTGAAAAACACAAAAGTCTTCAACCAGAACTGGTCATTGGATGCTGCTTTTCAAGTGCACCCGTTATTATATGTGGCCAACCGCTCTGGCGTGGTTTTTGGAGTGGCCCAGAGAACTCCTGTGATGCTTTATTATTCTGGGAGGAGGTAAGCCAGGGCCCTTTAAAGTTGATCACTGAAACAATGTGATGGAGCATAATAATTTGTGTGCTGTTTAAAAATAGAAACGTCTTCTGGCCATAACCTGTGCTAGTGATTGCAGTGGTGTTGGATATCCTGGACAACAGTGGCAAGATTCAAAGGGCACTGAAGTGCAGAACTGCTAAGCGTTATGGTTGACATCTATGGTCAGTTCCCCAGCATGTATGTCACTCTTTCCATCAGTGTCATGATTTCCTGATGGAGCTCTCCTCCATTTTCAACCACTCCTAGCTCTCTGTAAGTGGATCCTCATTGGTTTAAACCCATCAAAATGTGAATTTCCCCTCGCCTCAGTGGCTTCATCTCAGGCTCAGAAATGAACTGATAATTTCTTCAGAGGATATTTGCTGAGGTTTCTGGAAAAGAAACAAAAATAGCTTTCATCCCATAAATTTCCCAACACTCTGCCAGCTAAACTAGAGTGAGACAAGCTGTAGATCAGAGCGACGTTGGTAGCCATCTAGAAGCCACCAAGGAAGAGCCTGCCCAAGGACGGTGCTGACACCGAGGAACAGAGGTGGAAAATGGGGAAAACCTGAGACCCTGTCACTGTGTTTGAGCCCGGGATCAAGCCATGCCTTGGACTGTGTAACAGCATGAGCCAATTTTTATTTATCATTTATGCTAGTGTTATTTTTTGTTTGCTTCTTGCATGTATTATGTACCAAGGGCTTTGCCTGGCACAAAAGGAAGAGATGAAGATCTGTGTTTTGCCCTCAAGTTTCTATTCTAGGCATGTGCATCACTCATTAAAATGTAATCAGATTGCTATATGTTTAAATAAAATTAATTCGATATAAGAAGATGTGGTTTAGCAGTAAGTGTAGAAAACTCAGGAATTTCAGCTAACAGTAAACAGGATCAACAGTGTAACATAATTGCCCTCAAAAGCTAATGTAATCTTAGGCTACATTAATGCAAAAAGAGTCTCTGTTCTCTGAGTATGAATCACCTGGGGAATCTTGATGCAGCTGGTCTGGGGTGGGTGTGAGGTTCTGCATTTATAACAAGCTCCCAAGTAATGTAAATGTTGCTGTCTTTTGGATTATACTTTGAATTACAAAGGATTAGACCATGCCTGTATGAATATCTCTCTTTAAGAGGATAACAAGGCACATTCTTATTATAGTAAGGGGATTCAATGTCATAGGAAACAGTTGAAGGAAGACAGTATGCTTAATATGGGAAAGAGAAAGCCTCAGAGAGACTCTGATGATAGTCTTCAAATAGTCTTCAAATAGATTAAGAGAGTGTGCTTTAGAAAAAGGTTATATTTGTACCAGGACATATAGTACTTCAGAATAGGATGTGGGAAGATTTCCATTCAGCCTAAGGAAGAACCTTACAAACATTTGCTTCCCAAAGATGGAAGGGATTGCTTTATGAGGTGTCCTATTGTGTTTCAGGGTTGCAAACTTACATGCCTTCAGGGGCTAGTTGGGAAAATAAATACAAAAACCGAAGTTAAGAATGTAAGACATTAGCTTGTAGTGGCGATTGACAAGCTGGAGAGCCTGTGCCCCGTCTAAAGCCATTCCAATCCTTTCTTAAAGTTATATTGACCAACTGAAAACTGCATGGATAGGACCACTCTTAGCCTATACAGAATCTTTGTACCAGCTAGAAATAAAAAAGTGTTTCTTCCTCCAGTCACCTTATTTTCTTTTTTAGAAAATTTTCTTACTATTTTGTTAGAACAAGGCATCCTACTGTTCTGAAAAGTGGGTGATAAATCTTTAATATTGGTGATGTGAATAGTAACCCTGTGGATGGGCTGGAGGCCAGATTACAACCCTTGGGATAATAAACCTTAGTTTCTGAATGTACAGCTGGTGGAATTAGGAGACAAAGTTATTTTTCAAACTTTTTCAGAGAGCAAAATCATAGTGTTCAGGCTAAGTCCCAAGGGCATGGGATGCAGACACAGTGTTTGCTCTCAGGGTGCTCCCAGGCTGGAGAAGGAAGCCCAAGCTAGCTGGGCATCTCAAGGTAGCCAAGGTAACAGGACAGAATCCATCCCTGGTACATGGTGTTCAGGGCAGAGAGAAGGTCTGCTTCACCTAAAGGCAGGGAAAGGGAGTGGTCAGAGTGGATTCAGTAGGGGAGATAAGGCTTGGACTGATAGCCTTGAGTGTGACACCCCCCCCCCATCCCCAGCATTTTTGCCCCTGAGCTTTTCAAGTAGATCTGCCCTCAGTTCTGGCTGAGCTCAGAACTGTATACATTCCATTCTGTCTAGGTCTTTGTCACATCAAATGACGTGGAGAGTTGGGAACAAGGGGAAAGGCAAAGTCCTGTTCCAGAGCCCTACTGCATGCTCTTAGTCCTCCCACACTAGACTGAAGCAGACTGTAGCTGGGTAGAGGGTGCAGAAATCACCGACTCTGCCTGTACACCAGCTCTTTAGCCGCCCTCATCTAAGCTTTTCCACTTGGCCCCTTAATCCTTAATTAACCTGGAATCTAGGTTGCACAGGAATATGATTCCTAGGCACTGTGTCTCTCGGGCCCTTCCTCCTCTCCCGCTACTGTTGCCTGCACCCCTCGTGCCTAGGGATTGCTCCAATGGCCTCTT